ATTATTATTCCCCTTGTTCTTATGTCTTTGTGTACTCTTTGTCTTCTTGCAAAAGTTGACAAGCTTTTCTTTCTTTAATAAAGCACCAGAGAGTAAGTATTTTAACCTCTGGGTTCCATGTGGTCTGCTGCTACAACTACTCAACTTTACAGTTGCAGCACAAAAACAACCAGAGACAATAAAAAAGAGATTGAGAATGATTTTAATCCAATATAACTTTATAGACATGGAATTATTTGGATTTCATTTAATTTTCAAATGTCATTGAATATTCTCATTTTGATTTTTTTGTTCAACCACCTAAAAATGGAAAAACAAACAAAACCCAAACATTTTTAGCTTGTGGGCTGTACAAAATAGATGACAGACTAAATTTGGCCAATAGGCCATTGTGTACCTATGCATTTCTGAATTTTTCTTATCTTCTTTCAACCTGCGCAAGTAACTTCCTGAATTGAATATTAGAATAAATATATTTCTGTTAATTATCATAGTAGTTTTCTATTGCCACCTTAACAATTTACCACAAATTAGCAGTTTAAAATGATGCAAATTTATTATTTACAGTTCTGTAGCTCAGAATTCTGTGTTAGCTTGGCTTGCTTCTCTGCTCCAAGCTCCACAAGGCTGAAATCAAGGGTCAGTTAGTTGAATGCCTATGAAGAGGCTTTGGGAAGAATCCACTTCCAAGTTCATTCTTGTGGGCAGAATCCAGCTCTTTGAGGCTGTAGGAATGAGGACCCCATTTCCTTGTTGGTTGTTAGCTGAGAACCATCCTTTGCTTCTGGAGGCCTCCTTTTCCATTCTTGCCTCTGGACACCTACCTCTCAGAGCTTTCTCATCATATCACAACTTTCCCACACTTGCAATCTGACTTTCCAGTGTCTCTTCTGACTTTCTCTTCTTCTTCCTCTGTTTTTAAAAATTCTTGTGATTACTTTGGACCCACATGGATAATCCAGGATAACCTCACTATTTTAAAGTCATATTGATGAGTAATCAAATTTCATCTGCAAAGTCTGATCACATCAGTACCAAGATTAGTGTTTGATTAAATAGCCAAGGAGCAGTAATCTTGATGACAAATCTTTACAGTTTAGGATACTACAATTATCACCTGAATTTCCAACATAAATAGTGATATATAAATTGATAGATTACTTGTTACTCTCCAGAAATAATCTAACCCATTTAAGTTTTTGGTTTTGGTAGGTTCAATCTTAGATTTATTATATTTCATAAGCATATTTTGGATAATTATTGTTATAGAGCTAATCCAATCATCTAAGCTTCTCAATAGGTGATCTAGGCCACTTGGGAGTAAATCTGAGGTGAGCATACTATAGTCTTACCTTTCAATGAATGCTTTTCTCCAAGATTACCATTTTCTTTCTTTCTTTCTTTCTTTCTTTCTTTCTTTCTTTCTTTCTTTCTTTCTTTCTTTCTTTCCTTTCTTTCTTTTCTTTCCTTTCTTTCCTTTCTTTCTTTCTTTCTTTCTTTCTTTCTTTCTTTCTTTCTTTCTTTCTTTCTTTCTTATCTTCCTTCCTTCCTATCTTCCTTCCTTCCTTCCTTCCTTCCTTCCTTCCTTCCTTCCTTCCTTCCTTCCTTCTTTCCTTTCTGTCAGGGTCTCACTCTGTCACCTAGGCCTAATCATGGCTCACTGCAGCTTTGACCTCCTGGGCTCAGGCAATCCTGCTTCAACCTCCCAAGTAGCTGGGACTATATGCCTAGCTAATTGTCTTTTCTTTTCTTTCTTTCTTTCTTTCTTTCTTTCTTTCTTTCTTTCTTTCTTTCTTTCTTTCTTTCTTTCTTTCTTTCCTTCATAAAGATTAGGTCTCGCTATGCTGTCTAGGCTGTTCTTGAACTAATGGGCTCAAGCAATCCTCCCACCTCGGCCTCCCAAATTGCTAGGGTTATAGCTCTGAGTCACCATACCTGGCCAAGGTTAACATTTTCAATTCTTTTCCAAGTAGTAGGACTGTGTTTCATACATAACTTGATTTTGTCTCATACATTCACAAGCAAGATTTTCAGGGTAGTTGGTGTAGAGAAAATAAGGTTGACATTTTTCTGAAGTTATTTTTATATTTGGGATTCAATTGTTGATTTCCAAGTCTAATCAGTTGCTAAATCTCAGGACATAATATTCTGGAGATATAAATCTCCATTTGACTCTCAATTGCTTTTCCTCATCCACCATATCAGACCTGTCACCAATTCCTGCTGATTCTCACCCTCAACAGTCCAAGGATCTGTGCCTTTCTTTTTATCCCTCACTTCCATGATACCTGATTTGCATGTTTATCATCTCCTATCCTGTTTATTACAATGACTTTCTAATTGTCCTGCCTACTTCTGGTTTTTCTCTTCTCCATATATTTCTCCAGAGGTTTTGATTCAATCTGAACTTCAGAAAAACTGCCAGAATTCTCCGTTGCTTCCAGAATGATATTCCAGTTCCTTAAAGTGGCATTCAAAGATTTCCAACACATTGTCCCAATTCTACCTCTTTTTCCTCTTCTTTATTTTTTTTATTATAAAGATGTGGGGTACAATTCAGGGTTAGGTATACAAACGTTGATTAAGCAGGTACCCTTATTGATGAGGTACGCCCCTCCTTCCCCAGCAGTTTCCCTCAACTGCCAATCCCACCCCCTCCCCGACAATTTCCCACTACTGCCAATCCCTTTCTTATGGTATTATAATTGTTCAAGGTCCGCTTATGAGTGAGAACATGTGGTACTCTGTTCTTTGTTTCTGTGATAGATCACTTCCTACCTTTTAACCTCATTTTCCACTAGAGTCCTCCAGAAACCCTTTACCATAGTCACGTAGGCCTATTTAACATTCTCAGAACATGCCATATTGAAGTGTTGGGATAGTAGTGCTCACCTAATCAGCTAAAACTATTTCCTCATTTTTAACTGGAAACATATTTAGACTACTTAATTAATTCTAGTTATTAAAACTGTGTATAATAAGTGTTATAAACCTGAAAATGGACTTTATAGCAGTATAGCTGCTAAAGGTTGAATTCCAGTTATCCTCATTCATTCCACAAATATTCACTGGGCACAGTGCCAGGTACTGCTCCTAGAGATGGTGAACAATACAGCCAAAACTCCTGTCTTCATATCACTGGTAGTGATGAGGGCTATGAGGATATAAAAAGAAGAGCAATCCATCAAATTGATGGAGTAGTCATTCATTCATTTAAAAGTATTCATGGGAGGTTGGGTATGGTGGCTCACATCTGTAATCCCCCTACTTTAGGAGGTCTAGGCAGGAGGATCACTTCAGTTTACAAGTTTGAGACCAGCCTAGGCAACAAATGAGACTCTCATCTCTAACAAAGAAAAACTTTTAAATTAGCCAGACATGGCGGCTCATAACTGTAGCCCAGTGACTCAGAAGGCTGAGGTGGGAGGATACCTTGATCCCAGGAGTTTAAGGGTACTGTGAGCTATGATGGAACCACTGCACTCCATCGTGGATGGCAGAGGGAGAACCTGTCTCTTAAAAAAAATTGATGGAGAGGATAGTCTGAGAAAATCTCTCATAAGCACTAAGGGGAAAAAGATGAATCAGACAGAGATAGGCTCTCGGGGAGCTTGGAGTTCAGTGAACATGAGAGGTCCTGGGCAGAAATAACTCTGGAGAATACTATAGATCATGGAAGAAGTACAGAGAAAGAAGAAGGTTATAGGCATTTCAGGAGGGAGGATGAGGGGGTGATTTCATGTAGCCATTGCAGGTGAGGCTTAAAAAATAGGTAAAACTATTCAAAGATCCTTCTTTCCTGCCTTTAACATTTAATTGATTGTAAAATCCAGGCAGGGACTTCTACCACCTGCATTCTGAATTTATTTCTCTCTGTGTGTTAGTCTTATCATTCGCTAGCATAGGTCTTGTCATCTCTCTCTTGGACTATTTCACTGGCCAACCTCTCTCTTTGTCCCATTCTCACACCACTCTAACCCAGTGTTCATATTATACCAAGGAATTGTTTAAAATAGAGTCTGTTCGTGACTCCTTTTTCTTTCTTTCTTTTTTAATCAATATTTTTTATTTTAAAATTGTGGGGTACAGTTAAGGGTTAGTTATACAAATGTGCATCATTCGGGCACCCTTGTTGATAAGGGGTGTCTTCCCATCCCCAGACAGATATTGACTACCGTTAATCCCACCTCCTTTCCCCTCCCTCCCCACCATAGTTTCCCACCACTGTCAATCCTTTTCTTACAGTATTACGATAGATGTTCAAGGTCCACTATATGAGTGAGAACATGTGATACTCAGATCTTTGTTTCTGTGAGAGATCACTCAGTATTATAGACTCTGGTTCCATCCAGGTTGCTGCGAAATTCATGATTTTGTTCTTTTTTATGGCTGCGTAGTATTCCACCATATATGTGTACCACATTTTTTTAATCCAGTCCTCTTTTGATGGACAGCATGGTTGGTTACAGGTTCTTGCTCTTGTGAACAATGCTGCGATAAACATACGTGTGCAGGTATCTTTTTTATAGAGTGATTTGAGTTCTACAGAATACATGACTCCTTTTCATTCAAAATCTTGGGTTGTTACCCACTGCTCACACTGAATTTCATGTACCCATTAATGCAGTGGTTAAGAACTTGAGCCCTAGACCAGACTTCTTGGGATGGGATCCTGGCTCTACTACTTACCAGCTGTGTGACATGAGGCACGCTGTTTTATTGATCTAAGACTCAGTTTTCTCATTTATACAATGAGCATAATAATGTTTACACAATGTTATTATGTAGATTAAAATATATGAAATATAAAAAGCAATTAGCAATTATCTAACAGATAGTATATATCCAATTAATAGTGGCCATTATTATCATCATAAAATCCTCCAGAGATTGAGATGGACTCTAAATAATTGACTATTTTAATTAATTGGGGATTTTTTAGATTTAATTATGTGGCTAAATAATTGAATGTTGATGTTCTCCCTTTTTCCCTTGAGTAGGCAGCTAAGGATTATAACTGGTGAGTGGTTTTTTGAAGAAAAGGCAAAGCGTTTCAAGCAAGTAAATGTTTTGGGCACTGATGTTGTCCGACAGTCCATCTTAAGAAGAAGTCCAGGTAATTAAAGCAATATTTGGTTTCTTCATTTTGGCTGGCTAAATAACTTCCCTATGATATGTAGCAAATGTGCTAAGTTGAATTTCACAACTTAGTAGCAAGAAATCTAAATCTACAATTCATACAAAGGAAGAGGAAGTCAGTAGAAAATAAAATTCAATGATTTTCCTTATATCTGATACCCTAACATTTTCAAAGAAACCATTTATCTTCATAACAGATAGTTCATTTTCTGAATGCACTTCCAATGTTTAACTAAAAATTTAAGAAAGTAACGTAAAACCGATAAATTAAATGATTCACTTTGTGAAAGAAATCCTTGATTTTTTTACAAGATTTATTTCATTTTTCTTTTAAATAATCCTTTTTCCAATGGTTCTCAACCAAGGGCTGATGTTGTGCACCTTGTCCTTCTCCCCACAAAGAGAAGCATTTGGAAATGCAAGGTAGCATTTCTCATTGTCAATGACTGGAGTGAGTCAATGGCATTTCGTGGGCAGGAAAGAGAGATGTTAAATGACCTGAAATCCATAGGACAGTTTCACTCATTTAGTCTTGCAGAATGAATACTGGCACCAAATGCAAATAATACCCCACCTCGAGAATGCTTCTCAGGGCATTCAAATTACAGTTTAGTTGGCTAAATATTGAGTACAACTTGTGTTTGGGAGCATATTTCTAATGTATGGTGCAGTAAAATTGGAACAGGCATATTTTGGCCTGTTCCTAGGGTATCTCATCTTTCATACACAGGAGACAAGTGCCTTTGTTTTCACATCTGTCAGGTAGAGCTAGAAGGCTTGGAATTGATTCCAATGTAACTTGTATGTTTGACACAAGCAAGGACGGACTTTTCTGGAGGGATCACATCAGGTCTGATTTAACAGAGGGACAGAATGGAGTAGCGGTAGAATTAAGCTGTCACCCATGACCTCTTCCTCCACTTAAACCTCAGCTCCTTCCAGAATGTAAACTGTTTTTCAAGTCACAAGGTATGTGCACAGATGTCTACCTTCCCAGGAAGTCTGGCTTCTGTGTTCAGAAATTGGGGTATTACTTTCATAACCTCATGCTAGAACTCAGTCTCTAAGAATATGGAGTTATCATGAGGCCAGGTCCCCCTGCTATAAAAATATCAGCAGAGTGATGATGTATTCATTTTTCCATGACAGTCATCCCTGGAAAGCTTATCTCAGCAAGCCTGCCACAGATGAGTCCTGGATCTTAGTCCTCAGTTAACACTAGGATACTCAACAAATTAGAAATAACTATGTGACTGGAAAATGGTACGGGAACAGCATTGCCAGTTATTCTAGATTTTTTTGTCCTGCACGAATATAGGAAAGTGAATGCAGAATAGAAATTTTCTCTCATATCTGGCCATTTTGTATGTAAATTTGTCTTCTGATTGTTTTTTTAATGAGGATTTGAAGAAGTACAAAGCCAAGAGCAAACCCGCCAGGATGTGGAAAAGTCAGACATTTCATCTTCTGCTGGGCAGAAGACCAGCCATGATGGACCCAAGAGAAAGGGGTAAGACATAATCATTCCAAAGGAATTTTTTTATCTTTGTTCCAGATACCCCTGAAATAAAGACTTTAGTTTTTCAAGTCTGATGTCACTTCGGTGACCCAGAGGAGGTCGGATACTCAACCAAGCTAACACCCTTATCGTTCTCCCCAGGAAACGCAGTTTTAATTGCTTTCAGTAAGTAAATAAAAGTCTCCTCTGACCTGAGCACATAAGAGGTTTTCTTTCACTTGACATATCTGGTCTTGCACCATATGGTTCTCATGACTTAATGGAAGAAAGTTTCACGTCAATGCCAGTCTTATCTATAAAGAGGTGACGACTGCTTTTGTTGTAGAATGTCAATACCTCTCTCCTCCAACCTGTGTGTTGATATGTAAAATATCTAAATTAACGATATATTAATTGAGCTTAAAGCATCACATTTCTATTTAAAATTCAGGATTCCTTGAGGGAAAAAAAAACACGTTTGGCCACTTCAATGACTAATTCAGTATGTGTCAAGCACTGAGAATAGGAGTAAAAGGTACATAGGGGCTCAAGATGCAAAAAAGCACTGGTAGACTGGGAGCAAGAAGATTCTATCAAGGGAGAAAAATGGCCCTCAAGTGCAAGATAAGGTTCAGGATAGCAAAAGGGAAGAAGAGTGATTCCAGGTAGAGCAGACACCTTAAGCAGAGGTGTAGAGGTTGGGACATACCTAAGGTGATTCTCAGAGGAGCATAGATAAACATTATATTAGAGCTGTTCTCACCAAAAAATGTAATTTTCCAGTAGATTGAAGCTTCTGACACCTTGACAATGACACTCTTACAGGGGTCTTTGAAACAGAGATAACTTGGCAGATTCTATTAAGATTGTGCAAGTACCTTTGGAATTCATTTTTTCTTCAAGAAAACTGTAGAATGCAAAATAAATGAGGTGTTCTGTCCCAATGCCATCACACAAGAAAAAAAGAATATAGATTGAGTTTGGTTATTAAAGTGCACTTAGAAACACTTGTGTTTTGGTTACTCAGTATCCTGGATCAGGATTTTATTTTATTTTACTTTATTTTATTTTAAGTGAGAAAGCAGGATTTATTGAGAGGATGGAAAAACTCCCACAGTGGAAGGGGACCCAAGGGGTTTGCCCTATTTTAATTTTAATTTTTTTGAGACAGAATCTCACTCTGTACCCCAGGCTAGAGTGCAGAGGCATGATCATAGCTTACTGCAGTCTCCAAGTCCTGGGCTCAAGCAACCCTCCTTAACATCCTGAGTAGCTGGGACTACAGGCTCAGCCACCACACCTGGCTATTTTTGAAAAATTTTGGTTGTAGAGGTGGGATCTTGCTATGTTGCCCAAGCTGGTCTTGAACTCCTGTCTTCAAGCAATCCTCTCACCTCGGCCTCCCAAAGTACTGGGATTTCAGGCATCAGCCACTGCATCTGACCTAGAACTTTAGTCTAGGATACTAAAAAGCTGTTTTTTTCTTAAGTTTCAAACAATTTGGTGAAGGGGGAATGCAATCAGTTTTCATCCACTATGAGGCCCTGCATTGTTCAAATTTCATCACCACAGGGAGAAATGTTATGGAAGATATACAGATGGTTTCTATTATATGAGTTTAGTCACTCATTCCACAAGAGTTGGTTGGATTCTAGTATGTGCCAGACATCCTCTGGGTTCAGGGGATCTGGCAGGGAACAAGAAAAGCAGAGTCACTGCTCTCATGGAGCTGCAATCTAATAAGTGATTACATCATTTTTTTTCTGTAGGATCATTTTAGCTCCCCTCTCTGAGCATGGTAAGTTCCAGGTTGTTAGTAACCCTGCAAATAGGCCCAACCTAGGCAATACTTCTCCATTCTTAGGTGACAGTGGTAAGTTCCCAAAGTAGGTGGTCCTTTGCTTTGCAGGGACAGAGGCCCAACTTATTAGCAAATGATATGGTCTTGGAAGAATGCCATAAGCTCCTTTGTTACCACCCTTGGCACTGTACTGTAGGGACACTGGAAACTTTCCAGACCCTCTCACTCCCAAGGATACTTTACTGAAGAATCCTCTATTATTGAAAGTGCTAGAAATTTTATTATTGAAATGTTATTTTAATGTTTTATTTCTTATTTTACTTTTAAGTACATATATATGTAATTTCAGATTTCTTCTTAGCAAATTCAGATCAGCAACCAGAGGAGAAATCATAACTCCAAAAACTGAAAGTGGACGGAGCTACAGCTTAGACTTGGACAGCCAGAATTTTCGGAGTTTAAAGTCAGCCCCTGGTTCAGACAGGTAAGAGACATACAGATTGGGCAATGATATAGCCCAAGGATAAGGTTGACATATTCCCATCCAAACAGGGTTTCAAGGTATCTGTGAAGTGTTATCACTTGGAGAACTTCTAACACATAATATGAAAAGTCAGGAGGCTATTTTTTAGTTGAAATGGAAAGCATACCCTCCTTCTGGAATTACAGCTATTGGTATTGTCTATGTCACCTGCAGGGTTATGTTTTGGCACTCAGAGCTGCAATTCAAATGGAGATGAACAGGGCAAGTAAATTCTTTTTATTGACTTCTCGTCTTTTTCTGCTTAAGCTTCTGAAAAAGAAACCTTTGAGTGTCATATACATTCCTTGTAGCTTTTAAACGTGTAATAATAATTTTATCGTTTGAATTGCCTCAGAGAATTTTCCATAAATTTCACTTCCTTCTTGTTTCATCTCCTCTAACTAGTTATCAGTGAAGCCAAGTGAGAATCTCCTATGCACAGAACTATCACTTGTCAAGAAAAATAAAGAGAAATCGAAAGGATAGCCAAAAGCATAGCCTTTTCATGAGCCTTGATTTTCTTTATCCTGTAGGGGCATACTGAAGGTTTATTTTCATGATTAGTGTATTATCAAAGCTAGCAATGAGAAAATATATTTACCCTCATGTTTCACACGTTTGTCCAAATGTTAACTCCCTTTTGTCTGCTTGGAGCTACTGTAATTCTGCAAGCCAGTTAGTAAAACTGGCAGACTTTCTTTTCTCCTTTGGTTCTGCAAGCAGAATTGCATTCTTGCCATCACACATTTTAAAACAGAGGCCAGAAAATTTCCCTGGAGAGGGCATTCTTTTGACTATTGGGTTATTTTTTCATGATGACTTTCTATACCTGTTTCTTTTTCCCTATAGCATTCCTGCAAGCATCACTTTATATAAAACTGTACAGGGAAAAATATAATAAAGCATAAAATAAATTATTTATCACCCACTATCAAAATATTATTACTATATTCAGTATTTTTCAAATTTTTATGATTGCAGACAGTCTCTGTGATTTTTTTTTTTAAATTAAGCCATGGTTTGCCTTTTTTCTTGAAATAGCTTCATTTGACTTCCGTTGGAATGGCTTCATGCCATATTCCACAAAAACATCCTACAAAAAATTTATTATTGTTTTTGATTGTTGGACTCCTAACTCTGAGATAGTAGTGGCAAAAATTATTCAGAGATGATAAGAAACTAACTTGGTGGTGTCTTTTTGTTCAGCCTCCTGGGGACTCTATGAATGAACCATCTAGACTTACACTTCAGGCTAGCATTAAAGAGACAATATATATGAAAAGAGAAAAGAGAGAGTTACTTGTTAAAAAAGCAAAAGGGCTCCCAGTTTAACACACAAAATTAGACCATGTCATTTTTATGTTATATGTCTTATAGTTACTCCACAAGACTAAGGGGCATGCTCTCCAATATCACAGTGCTTGTAGCACAATTGAATCTAACTACCTGAACTTACTCCTTGTGTTTTATCTATTGCTAAGTAAAGATATATGGACATGTTTCACCAAATACTGATATATTTATCCAGGATTTTCTTGTTCTTGTTGTAAGCTGGAAGAAAACCCCTAAGTAGACTTTATCTTAAATTGTAAATACCTAGAATGGTTTACAGAAAATCAGAATATAGTAGTCATGGGTGCTTTGTCTTAAGCATGCCAAGAACAATGTTTTCACATTTTAAAAGGGACTAAAGATGCTCGGGAGATTAGTACAGCAAAATGTCCTTTTCCTGGAACATGCATTTATCACAATGATGACTCATTGTGAACACAGTAATGGACTGCCACAGTGAGATGAGTTCCATTATTCCAAAATGAGTCCTTAGAAAGTTGGGGCAGGAGGTAGGTAACTCCCATCATCTAAAGAGATTGTAAGATTCCAGTCTCTTTGATCTATTACCTGACCTAGCTTAGAAACGATTCCCTTTTCTCCTATACAATGCATTTTTGTCCATGGTTCATTGGTCTTTTCCTGAAGCAGCTGGGTTTGGACATTCCTTTTTAAAATTCACGTCATATCAGAGTAGAAGTGATGTCTGGGTGGTTTTATCTCTTTTTAGTAGTTTTAAAATAGGGGGAAAGTATGAGTGGCTTGGAGATGACCCAGCCGCCTCTCAGCTAGAGCATGTCAAAGGAATATTCACTGGTTGTTAGGGACTTGACACATAAGACAAAGGATATTTTTTTTAAAAAGAATATAAATGTAAGCTATAGTTAACAAACAGAATGCTATTCGAGGCAGTGATTTCTAATCCCTTCAAAGTTGGGAGGAGTTGTAACTGTGGAATATTTGCAAGATCTCTATCTTAAGTCATGTTTTCCCAGAAACAGACGTTCAAAGATTCATAAGCAAGTGATTTATTAATTATGTGATTCCAAGAGAAACCAGTAAGGGAATAGGAGAGACAGAACAGAGAAGGAAAAGAAGCTAAATGGTGGTACAATCTCAAGTTGAAGTCTGAGTCTGAGAACTCAGCCTGATCCTGTAGAATAAATTATATCCTTGAGCTTTTTCCATTTTGAGGAGCTTGACCATTGCTCTCTTATACCCATCAGTCATTGACCATGGATTCCCTAGTACAGGGTCTCCAGACTTAGTCAATAAATTTGAATTTGGGATAACTGTTTTTAGTATATATTCCACGCAATATTTGGGACATCGTTGTGCTTTTAAAATATTGAATGTTTATCTGAAATTCAAATTTAATAGAGAGTTCTGCAATTTATCTGACAACTCTACTATGGGGGTGAGAAGCAGACAAACCCTAAGGCATTTCTAGGCCTTTAGCTCCAATGCTAAAGGGCAAATCTCTGAAGGTTGTAGGTGCCAACTGTTAGCAGAAAAACACTCAGAAGCTAGGGAGGGACATGCAGAGGTGGTAAAAAGAACCTGAGGAGGATACCAGCACTGTTCCCTAAAAAAGTAAAATAAAATAAAGAAAATGTAGAAATTTACTCTAGTCAGTAAAAATGGAGGAAAATGATGCTGTTTCTCAGCAGCATTTCTATCATATCACTGAAGGATATGGGAAGCATACCACAGGATCCTGTTCTTTCTCATAGCTAACTAGGTTCTCATCCATCCACCCTCCCCCTCCTCTTCCCCCTCCTCAAACACACCCATTTTATCCAGTTATTCCCAATTGCTCTCCAGGAGGCCTGGGACTGATTATTAGTCTCTGTAAAGCTTCCCAAGCTGCTCTGCTTGGCTCTGATCCAAAAGCAGAGACCACACCATTCAAGTCAACACTCACCTAGTTCTCATCCTCATTTCAAGTGAATGCTCTCTCTCTCCCTCCTTCTCCCTCCCTCCTCCCTCCCTCTCCTTCTCTCTATACCCCTTCTATCCCTCCACCATTCCTCCCCCTCCCCCCTTCCCCCTTCTTCTCTCTTTCTCTCTCTCCCTTCCTCTCCCTTCCTTTCCTTCTCTCTCCTTCCCTCTCTCCCATCCCTCTCCCTCCCTCTGCCTCCCTATTCCTCTCCCCCCACCCCAATTTCTCTCCCTCTTCCCCACCCCTTTCAGGAAATATGGCATTTTTTGTATCATTATAACTAAAAATATGACTATCATCCTTTCCTCTTACCTATTATTTTGGCTATGTGAGTTTATTAAACCCATTCCATCACTAAATTTTACCTCCATTTTTTTCATCAGAAATAAAATTATTTTCTGCCCTGAATGTAAGTTTCATTGACATCTTTGCAAGCAAGTTACCAATTAGGCAGCTATCTCTTACTAATAATTTGAATATGTGACAAGATGAGTCAGGACCACATCCACAAAGTCAACACTGGGTTGTTTTGTGGATTAGATAAAACACTACATAGGTAGTTGCTAATGCTGTTAGAAACTTCTTTCCTTACTAAGCTTTAAAAGTTGTTTGAATTGCCGGCATATCTCTACAAGTATGTGAATTTTATTCCATAATCTAGCTGCAGTTGTTTCATGACTCGAGGATAAAGGCTGTAAGGATTGTCCTCCAAAGGAAAATTACTTTCATCTCTTTTCTATGCCTTTGTTTCCTTTGTCCAGTGGTGCTTCTAGTTCCTTTTTTAAAAAAACCATTTTGACTTTCTTTGGGTGAGTTCAGCCCTCCTTAGAGGCAACAAGGGATGGGCAATCAAAGCCACAAACTTTTTCAAGTACTAACAGTCTAAAGCAATTTGAAAACTCATGGTGGCCCAAGAAAAGTGAATTTTATTTGTTTATGTGAAGCAATGGACACATAAACAAACATGTGTGGGAACATGGATTTATGAGAGTACTTTTTCAGTTGAACTGTGACCTTATCAGTGGGAGATACACAAGATCTGGAATTGCCAAAAAAATTATCCAGCAAGAAACTTCTATTTATAACTGAAAATCGTCTTTTGTAAAAACTCACTCTTTGCTACCATACACACCTGTATACACTTGATTTGGGTTCTGTTGGAAGCAAACTCTGAAGGAAGAATTCAAGAGTAAGTAATTTGTTTAGGATGTGGCTTAGGAAAACATAGATAGGAGAGTGGAGAAATGAGTCAAGGAGGGAAGAAATACAAAAAGGATGTATCATTAAGCCAATTACTACTATGGGCAACTAGAACTCAATTTCACTGACTAACTCTAGGAAACAGTGCTGAACATACCTCAATGATCCAGTCAGAAGATGGGGAACCTGGGATATTTTTACAACAGCTTGTTGTCCATCATTGGTTGATGGCTTCTTCTGGGGTACTCTCTGCCACTTCCAACCTACCCTGTTAATAGTAGGAGCTCCATCCTCCTGTCATCCAAAAAAAGTCTTCAGACAGAGGGTTGTGAGTAATCACAGCAAGTAAGATTCTGTAGGTAGAGGTGACTGTTCAGAGGAAATTGACAGGCCACAGCAACATCCCTCCCAAACTGCTCTCAGACCTCCTTCAAAGGTACAATTTGTAAGACTGCCACTTCTCAGCCCCTGATTTCTGTTTATTTTATAT